TTTGAAGATGGGCTCCTCAGGTTCAGTGGTTTATATGTTACAAAAATTCGCCTATACTTGACTAAAAAAAATGACAGCTGGCTAATACTGCACGAAAATACGTGCTAGAGACATTTTTTTTCTGGGAAAAAAAAAAAAAAAGGGAAAAAAAAGTAAAAAAAAAGTACTGCCATCTCGCCCCGAACACTATGCCATCTCATGTGGGGAGGTTCTAGTTTTTAAAAAAATTATATTGTAGCGTTGGGATGTATCGTTAATATTAAAAAAAAAGTGGGGGGGGTTGTTTTTTAAACATTTTTTTTGTTTTAAAAAATAAAAAAAAAAAAAAAGGGGGGGGGGGGGGGGGCCCCCCCCCCCCCCCCCCCCCCCACAAAAAAAAAAAAAAAAAAAAAGGGGGAATATTTAGGGGTGTGGGGTGGGATTTTTTTAACCCAAGGTTATAAAAAATGAGCCAGCGGAGTAGATAAGTAGTAAAAGTTCTATATCATTAAAACAAAATATAATATTTGAATAATGACACAATATTCATCACATTCAATTGCAATTTCAATACATTACCAAAAATTTCCAGAATACAAAACAATACAGCGTTAAAACAATAGTTTATCAACGATACAACGCGTGAGTCGCTAGCCTACGACAAATTCGCATCAATCGAAAAACAAGTGAATGAAACACATGCAATAGTCTCCCAGACGTAATTGTAGATACGATAAGACAAAGTAAAGCTACTAAATAAACAAAAGAGGTTAAAACACTCAATATAATCGTTATTAAATCGCGTGTACTTACTCAAAACACGTAAACGGGATTCCTTCTTAAATATAGATCATTATTTTCATTGCAAGGACCTTGAAACAAAGAGAACTGCGTTTGCTAACTGCGCAGAATCAAAACTAAATATTTCACGTAAGTACTTTCAGGATATGGACTTACGTCACTCTGTAATAGTAAATGTACATGCTATCCTATTCCAAACGTGGAATAGCATATACTAGCGATATAAGTTAGATAGCGTTTAGTAGATGATGACAACGTACGCATTTACAGTATGAGTGTGTAATAGCAAAGCATTATAAATGTTTATCTCACTCACTTCCATACTCTCCATCGACCTAAGCCAATGAAAATTAAATAAATCGGTCGATCAGTTTCGACATGAAAGACAGGCAAATTGATAAATTAATGTTTTTTATACATTGTTATTTTTGTACAGAGTCGCGAACTTATATTACTATATACGTCATCTAGATGACACGGTGAACTTCGAATCGTCTACATAAATATTTGAGTCAAAACAAATATACAATTTTGTTAAAACAGACCAAAGAGATCGGACTTCATCCGACAGCTATGAAACAAACTTGTGTAGGCATCTGGCAAGCAAGTGACAATATTTCTTATTTCTAAAATGACAAAAGCACCAAATATTTCCTAGCTACGAACAGTTTTTATTGAAAAATAAAATTATTGTTGTTTTTAGTATATTTCTTTAATTATTTTTTACCTTTCCGTTTAAACCTTCCTTGAACTTCCACAAACATTTCAAGATCATAATTAGCCAAATGTATCCAGCCATTCTCGGGTTTTAGCGGGCCAAACGCCTTTTAAGCTAGTGGACCCCACAGCGTTGTCCTCATGATATTTAAAGCGATTAGGATATTAAGCAAAGTATGAAATACGACTGCAGTGCCATCTGCCGGGGTGTTTGTGATCAAACCATCCCAGATCCCCTTGAACACGCACAAAAAATTTCATCAAAATCGGTCCAGTCGTTTGAGAGAAGTTCAGTCACATACACACGCACACAAGAAATATATATATAAAAGATATTGAAACCCCTAACTCTTTCACTGATGTTTTTTTTACTCAAAGACATTCTAATATGAGTTTAAAAAAGTAAAAAATATAATTATTCAACATCTGCAGGACTTTATATAAATAATTCACAGTTAATTTCTTTCTTAAGAAAGAATTATACTAATAAGTAACGTTTTCGAGACAGTTCTGAATGACGCTAATGAGCCTTTCTCTAAAGCAAAAAACTCTTCAACACTTAACTTCAGAGCAAAGCCGTGTAGGATACGCTTGTCTTTTAATAAGACATAGATAATATGATACACAATAACAATTAAATAACTCGAAAAATTCATTTTTTGATCGCCGATTTAAAGTTTTTTTATAAAGCACCATTTGTAATATGTAATGATAATTTCAATAGTGTACATATTATTTTTGTTACCAGACCTTGAGAGTGCTATCAGGAGCGGAAGTTATATTCTGCTGCGCCGGCGCCGGATCCGAAAACGAATATCAATAAAACATTTTTAGATTTTTTGGCTCGTGACGCGAATTATCGCATTCTTTCGCTTATTATTTTTGAATATGATTATTTATTAACTTGACTTGCTGGAATGTGTGTTTTTTACTAATAATAATATGCCTTGGAAATATCGCAAAAATATTACAACACCAAAACAATCTTCTACGGGATGCGACTTTAAAGAAAAAGCTTTTTCCCTGGTCTTCTTTATTGTTTTAATTTTTGTTTCAGCTTGGAGACCACATTCAATCAGTGGGACAAAAACTTTTTGAAAATACAGTATCGAAACGCAACGTGAATTATTTATTAGTCTGGGGTTTTAGACATTTGAATGGTATTGAATTATGTTATTAATAATGCAACAGATTTTAGCACCTAATTTTTTGCACATTATATTATGCTGTCAAAAATAAGTATTTCTATAAGCATATTAATGTCTATAAATAATACATATTTCTTTAAATAAGACATTATTTCTAGTTAAGTTCACGTAATTAATATTAACATAGTTTTAATATTATCGTTGTAATGTTAATATACTATGTACCTACCATTAGTAAAACGTAAAACTGTTATTAGTATGTTTTTATTTATTAGAACGAATACACTGAAATTAATGTTATTTTTTAACATAAAATACGTTGTGGCATACTATAACTTTATTGCAGTTACTGTAAATATAGATATTTTATTTCTTGATAAATCACGTTAATGATAACAAGCCGATTTTTTGTAAACAACCATTCAACCTCCATTCTTCGCGATTTTCATTACATTTATTGAGAGCCCCGAAATTAACTAGTAATGAACTGACTGACTCTGCACTTTTTCGGTAAATTTATCGACTATACTAACCTACTTACCGAGTATCGATGATATACACTAGAAGGCACTGTATTTCTGTATTAAAAGCACAGATTCTTTCTTATGGTGGCGGAAATCAATATTGAGGGATAGCGAGCGAATTCACTCCTCCGTGGCGTCGTCCATTCAATACTGGCTTGTGGAAGCATGCGTAATGGAACGTCTAACCAAGTACAGCGTAGAGCGCGGGAAAATAATGATATCAACACTGATGTTTATCATCATAATTGAGGATAATTTTTGTATAATATTTATTATAATAATCTGAAAGAACAATTATCAAGTTTTATGCAATCAGTAGTTTTGGTACATTTAACGATCATTTTAAATGTAAGTTTATTAAATGAGTGTACAGTTTTTATTATATTTTCATTTCATGAGTATATTCATAATTATAATACCAATTATATATAGGTAATATAATATTTTAAAAAACATTGATTCTAAGGGAATCAATAACGCTGCAGTCTGATTGTATTTAGGAATGAACCTCGTCTTACAAAATGTAATTCTTCACATTATACTTGAATTATTGTAAAATGCTATATTAGGAAAGTTTATTGTTCCACAATAAAATTATAGGTGTAAGTATAGGTAAATATTTGTTGTACACTCATAAGATGTTGTACGTTATTTATTTAACTGCAAAATTATTGTAAACAATAGATAGCAACTGATATATTAAATGCGAAAATAATCTCGTTTGTGTTTCACGCCTTTTCGTTAACGTTAAAATAACTATAGATATAAATGGAAAAAAAATCGATAGGTACATATTTTAACTTTCGAAATGAAAGCTCAAAGAAAAGTAATAAAATACCGATTTTAATAATTTAAAGAGATGTTTGAATAGATTACTAGTATGGAGAGACTAACTACTACTACTAGGAGTATTTTAAAATACATAAACTGACCTAAAGCGTTTGTTAGAAGTTAGTATAATATGATAAACACTACATAAGTTAGCCTTGACAGCAATTGCAGATCTTTATTGGATAATCATTGCACATGTTGCAGTCAATAGATTAATGGACACTTTAAAAATAGATATGACATATACTAATGACAAATGTCTCAGCAACAATATCTTTAACAAATGTTTACCATGAATGCGAAGCCTACGCACTGCAAGGGCAGTGCAATTTTTAAAAATTGGTTCCTAAGTTGCTGGTATAATTATAAACTACGATGTGCGTAACGTTAAAAAGGTCACGAAAAATCTTCGCCGCTAGATGTCACTAAACCATAATTAGGGTTTTACAAAAATCAAAACAGATTTTTGAGAAATTCGTGTTGTTGCATTCGAAATCGATTATAATACATTCGATTATGATTATTCAGGACTTAAGACAAAAAAGACAACAAATAAATGTATACTTTATTAGTACATAAGTGTATAAAAAATAAATTAATAACACATTCTTAATTATAATAGGCAAGAGAAAAATTCAAAATTTTGACTTAGATATCGTTCAGTTCAAGAGTCTTATAGTTACTAACAATTACTGTAATAAAAGCACAACAAATTAAAACAAGCTACAGATACCTTAGCTTTAAAAACTGTCTTTGGAAATTAAGCTTTTTGGTTTTTTCAAATTCATTAAATCATACATTAAAAATAAATAATAGCAATACAACTTATACAATACAAATTAAAATATAATGTTATATTCATTCATATTATTGTTTATCTTACTTAGGTACTTTTAAGTATTTATTTAGTAAATTAGCAACTACTTCTCAGTGCATATTAAAGTAATTAAGGTATCTAAATAAATAAGTATGTTTCTGCTCTATAGATTTGAAAAACATGTTACATATTCTGTTGGATAAACTTTCGTTCATTGATACAATTTTCTAACTCGTCATGATATCTATCGATTTTAGCGTCAAAACCAGGGCTTTGGATGTCACCATCAAAACTATCGCCAGTTATAATTTTCTCTCTATTAAGTGTTGAATCAAACCGCACTTTCTTACTTGGTGTGTTTGTTTTATTATGTGAATCATTGCTAGTACATCTTTCCCTTAAGGGAGTTACATTTTCATTAAGGCGCGTATTCCTTATCGTTTTTATAGTTTCATAGTGTTCATCTTCATTTTCACACAATTCTTCTATCTCAATATCATCTGAATTGTCAAGCTTTAAAGCAGGGTTTTCAATTCCTGAATCTATCTTATCCATTTTTTCTTTGGGAGGCTTACGAGGAACTTCATATGGATTGAGAGTGATATTTGGTTCTATCTTCTCCGATTTAAAAGTCTTTTTTAATGTTTTGAATACTTTTTTTGACAATTTATTACTTGCCTTAAGTAGATGGTGTTTTAAATGTTTCTTATTATCATTTGACTCTGATGAATTATTTGCTTGTGACATTTTGTTTAAATTCATAATATCTATTGAATTGAATTTGGATACGTCATGGCCTAAAATTTTACTTTGTTTGTTGTAGTGTGAATCAATTAACAGTTCATCAATGTTTTCATAAATAGGACTTTCTGAACGGAATTCTACATTTTCATATTCATTGTTCTCTATGCCTAATGAGTGTTCATTATCATTGACGGTGGAAATTGTACTATTTGTGTCATTAATAAATAGTCTTCTAGGCTGTAAATTATTACTTGGCACTACAATGTCCATTGGTCTGTTTAATGCTTCTTCATTGTATTCCATTTCATGCACAGCTATATCATCCAAAAATGGGTTTTTTCCTGTACTTTCAACTTTAGTTTCTAATTTGGGATCAAGGAATGGATTTGTATTCTTAATAGGAACAATCTTTTTCTTAGTAATAATGGTAATAGTTTTAATTTCCATTATATTGCTTTCATTTAAATCATCATCTAAATACAATGACTGATTGGATGGTTGTGGTGAATCCAAAGCAAGTCTATCAATAAAACTGAGATTAAGATTATTAGAGTTATTTATAAAGACTTGATTTGTAACATTTGTTTGTATGTTAGTTGTTTTGTTAATAAGTGACAAATCATTATTTTCCAGTTCATTTGAAGATTTTTGTTCCACGAAAGAGATACCCGAGTCAATATCTGTGCTATCATTTATATGACAATTATCCATTGTAAGCATATCTCCACTGTGATTTCTAGGGGGTAGTGGAGGAATATTAGTCAAATTTGCATAAACAGTATCCTCATTTGAGATTACAGTTTTGATTGGAGTTTCATATGCTCTGACATTTTTGTGAACATTCTGAAGTTCCCTCACTAAAAATTCATTAACTGCTGCTTTGCTAATGCCCAAGTCTAGAGCAGTATTTTCAAATGCTACTATGTTGCAGCTGGTGGTTCTCTTTCGGCGTTTATTTGGTGTTACTTCCATAGCAGTATTACACATAGGATCTTCATTAGCAAGGAGATCTAACGCTGGGTTTAGATACACATTTGGTCCAGTTGTTACCTTTCGTTTAGCTGATCTCACTTCAAATTGATTATTGTTAATGGGGTTCATGTTTAACTGAAAAAGAGAGATATTAATATTTATATAAATAAAAAAAAGGAGTCTATTGTCTACGGCTTAAATGCTTAAACTAATGCTACAGTTACCTTATAGTTTATACTAATCGTGACATGTAGATAATATGCACTTCAGCTTCCTTAGGATGAATCTTTTATCCCTGTCACTATTTAGTATTTAATCGGTTTTTAAAGTGTGAAAATGTAAACAATGGACGTTTACAATATAAAAAAAGAAAATTACGTGAAACACAAATCAATGTTTAATTACACTAATAACTACTCTTCTATTACTATGCAATAATTATGATCGGGGTATATAAATTAAAAAATTCTAATTGTATATGGCTTCAATCCATTTACAAAATACGAACCCATTAAAATATATACAATTCCTTAAAAGCCACAATCACAGTAATAGGCATTTAGAACATTACTTATAGAATATTTTTGTACGTAATAAATGGTATGAAATACAACTTTTAATTCATAATTTATTTGAAAACTACAGCTTATTTTATTGTTTTAAATGATTGCTTTGTTTGACCGGAAACGGCAGGTGCTCAGTGACGGTTATTTTTGACAGATATACAGTGAACCATAGATTCTAAACCTTTTTTATCACACAGTCCCCAGAATAAAAACGATATTATGAATGAATACACCAAAATATTGAAAGCTCCTATCAAAATTTGAAGGAAACGTTTAAAAATAATAGCTTATTGTGATTGATGAATTATTTAAAATAATTTTATATTTTATTTATTTTCATAGAAACATCTGTCGAAGTAAGTTTGATAGTTAAATTTCTAAACGTACTCAGAAACCACAAACAAAATTATCGTTCTTTCATTCGGTCTTGCGATGGTAATACGTTTCAGCCTAGAGGGCGGTCATGGTACTAAAAATGCTTATTGACTTTAGGTACCTAAACTCCGCTGCATCTCAACTGGATTGTTTTAAGAAAGTTCATGGTAGGCCCCCTGGCCTAAACGTTTAAAGGACTGTATTGCAGCCGATGGAAACCACTTCGAATAAGCTTTTTATATTTTAAATTGTTTTATATTTATGTATTAAACTTACACACTGTAAACGTAATAAATGTTATTTGCAAAAGAAAAAAAAATCTTTGTTTCAGTATTTATGGCAATGCATGACTAAGTAAGCACGTTACTATCACGTCCTTTTATTAGGTTTAATATTATTTTCACAACAAAGTGGTAACGCTTATATCTAATCTAAAAAAAATACACTAATGCTAATATAAAAACATTCAATAAATATTTGTAAGTTTAAGGAGATTTTATTATTATATTCCATAAAACTTACGAGTGTATTAGTAATTTAAGTGTTTAAAAAAAGAGATCGATTTGGTCTTACCTTCCTTTCTTGGTATTAATAATAACCTAAAAGAATAGTAACGTATTTTTGAATACATACTTCGTAAGTTGCTGGATTCTTTAAATCTCAACAACGTATATAATGGTTACAACCTGACCTGAATTAAGAAAACATTGAAAAATAAAAAAAATCTCCAATGCGCTTGAGTGTAACACGATCAACATATTATTGAATTTAATATTATTAATTTATTAAGTATTTAATATGTATGTTGCCAACTATGTGAATTTTAATAAAGGGAAACTATAATTACGGGGAATACAATTAAAAACGTGTGCAACAAAAAATTATGAAAATTTTATTTAAACTATTAAATTCAATTTCAAAAATTCTTTATTTTGTTTCACAAAATTTATGGTGCTACATATCCAGTGTACATTATTTCCTGGAATGTAACAAGCTTACAACTAGACACGTTTTTACAGCTATTTTGCTTTTTTAAAAACTTATAAAATTTATAAAACTAAAGTTATAATGTTACGAAAGATTTTAACAATAACAAACAATTTTTAACAATGAGGTAAACTACCTGGTAATTATGCAATCTTTAGATGAGATTTGCATTTTGACATGCCTAAATTGAATAACTAAATATAGTTCTAACAATAAATGGGGTAGCACCGAGAACAAAAGAGTGGACGGCAAGCAATCACAATAGGAACAGTCACCCGCTAAGGCTAGCGCGAGCATCAGTCACGCAACGCACGCGTAATCCAGGTCTATATATATTTATAATAAGGCCGGAGGTCGCGCGCGACGCGGTGGCCAACACTCGCGCACCTGCGCGGGCCACTGATAACCAGTTATTCATCGCACTCAAGAAACAAGTGATGGGGTAATTTGTATCTGTTGTATTTATCGATGTAAGGTAAATTTTTCATCCGCGTTTTACAAAGGTTATTAATATATTTATTTTTACTTTTTCGGTTGTTATGTAAATAGAATTTTTTTGATAATTTGAATATAAACTGATAAATAGTCGGAAACTTAATTTTATTGTGAAATTTTTGGAGGTTTGTTCGAAACGGAGTATTAAATGCATATTTCAATGCTTTGTTTTGGACAACCTGTAAGCTATTTAAATTAGTAGGGCACGTACTGCTCCATACTGGGCAGGCATAAGTTATGCAGGGTCGTATTAAGGTTCGATATACACTTAGCTTTGTTTTGCTACTGAGGCACGATCTTCTATTTAAGATGGGGCTCAGTGCATTCAAAGCCTTCATGCTCTTGAGCCTGATGTATTGTGTGTTAAGGGTCCAGTTGAGTTTGTTGTCTAATATGACACCCAGGTACTTAACAGAGCGACTCCATGGTATCGCATATCCTTCAATATTGAGGGTACGAGTAGGCAGCGATCTAGTCCCGGAGAACATAATTGCCTCTGTTTTAGAGGCGTTAATTTTTAATTTCCACTTCCTGAAAAGGCGGTCAATAAGTCGAGTGAAAGTTGCAGGCGACTTATGATCAAATCCAGGTCTTTGGAGGAAGTAAAGGATGCCGTATCATCGGCAAAACAGGCGAGATTAGTGCGTGTTTGAATGGGTATATCGTTAAGGTATAGTAAAAATAGCTGGGGGCCAAGAATTGAACCTTGGGGGACTCCGGCTGGGACAAGTTTAGGTGAAGAGAGTGTACTATTTATGTGCACCTTGAAAGATCTATGGGTTAAGTACGATTTCATTATTTTAATTATTGCTATAGGTACGCCAATTTTTAGCAGTTTGTGGATAAGGGCTTGGTGCCAGACTGTGTCAAAGGCTTTCTCAATATCTAGGAGGAACATGCCTGTAGATTCACGCAAATTGAGTCCATGAGACACAGTCTCAGCTACTCTAGCGAGCTGTTGGGTAGATGAATGAGCTTCACGGAAGCCAAACTGCTCATCAATTATTATGTGTTCGGTAGCTCTGCGAAGTCGGTTGCATAAAATCTTTTCGAAAAGTTTGCCTAGGCAGGGTAAGAGGCTAATTGGGCGATAACCTACAGGATCAGATGGGTCTTTGCCCGGCTTGTGTATAGCTATGACTTTTGCTATTTTCCAAGCCTCAGGGAAATATGTAGTCAGTAAGCAGGCATTAAATAATTTTGTTAGCAACACAATACATTTTTGGGGTAGTCGTTTGATTAGATGATTCGAGATTTCATCCGGTCCAGCTGCTTTACGAGTTTTGAGTGAAGATATAAAATTGGCTACTTCAGCTGGTTTAACCAGTTGAATTTGATAACCGTCTTGCTGAAGGCTGTCTAGGGAGTACCAGGAGGCATCGACAGCGGACTGCTCGTCACTAATCCAGTTTTGGGTGAGCAACATGTTGTGAGAAAAGGTATTAGCTAAAACTTCACACTGTTCCTTAGCATTTAAAGTTGTGGAACCATCTTTAGTTTTGAGAGGGGCTAAAGATGGGAGAGAAGTTGATTTCAGCCCTTTGGCAATGCGCCATAAATCGGCACACGGATTGTCAACTTTTCTAAGTTTACGATCCCACAGGTTGTCACGGTGGTTTATTAATGCAGCATTAATATCTTGTTGAAGGTATTTCACTTCAAGATTTATAAGTTTACGGGTTACAGCATTCGTTTCTTTAGCAGAATAGCGTCGTAAGCGATTTTTATTTCTTATTTTTCTTTTAATACTTCTTGGCAGTGAGGTCTCCCAAGGTTTAAGGGTTGTAACCGGGATATTGACGTTTTTAGCAGAAATTATAGAGCTTTGAAGGTTTGAGATGACGGAGTCAATATCATCGGGAGATTTAAAGTTCGCTTTGTGTAAAGATATATTTTTATTTAAATATGAGCGGTAACCATTCCAGTCAGCCTTTGCGTAATTTAGCTTAAGAATGGGCTTGCGACGCGCTTTAATAGCGAGACGTACAAATACTGGGAGATGGTTGGAGGAAAGTGCATAGATGGTCTCAATTGAGTCAACGGTATAGATGTTTTTAGTGAGTAACAAATCGGGGTTGGTCGCTAGCCTGTTTTCATTGTAATGGACTAGGGTAGGCTCACTAGGGGCATGGACAATCATTTCATCGTCGAGCATGAGCTCGTAGATTGTATTACCATGGGTGTTAGTTGGACCAGGTGACCAATAGGGGTGCCTAGCATTGAGATCACCCATAATTAGTATCTTATTATTTGACGAAAAAGGGCGTTTAAGTCACTAGAGAGCAAGGGCATATTGGGTGACTGGTAAGCGGAATAAATGGTAATTTTGCCGAGGTTAAAATAAAGGGATATTCCTATGGCCTCTAAGTTAAGGGTTGGCGGGGTTAAAACAAGATCGTGTTCTAAATCAGCCCTAACCAAGATAGCAACACCCTGACCAGAGCCATCGGCACGGCCATCGAGTCGATAGCAGGAAAAGCCTGGAATTTGAAGGGTAAGCCGCTTTGTTAATCTAGTTTCGTTGAGTGCGATGATGTCAACGTTGAGATCTCTTACCGCCAGTTCAGCTAGTTCCTGCTGCTTTTTGTGAATACCATCGGCATTCCAATAAAATACACGTAGTTCATTGAGGTTAAACATAGTGACCAAGGTGAGACAGAATTAAGATTACTTTGTCCATGAAAGTATCACATTTTATGAAGTCCT